CTCTGTGGAGATTTCAAACACTGCATAGTGTCTTCAGATGTGATTAAAAACCAAACTGATGTTGACTTTCTCATGCTTGGTTGATTAGAAAAAAAACAAAAAAAACAAAAACATGGGATGTGAAACTACATTGTTGGGCATAAACCTGGTTTGCAAAGCCTGCTAGTCTGCAGATGCTGCACTCAGAGGCAGCCCACACTGTTTAACAACCCTGACCCCAACAGTGGAGACTTATCTGATGTTGCAGGTTCTCGCCCTTATGAACCCAACGGTTGTAATGCATATCCTTACTTTTGCATTTTACCTTTGCACTCATGCATATAGACAGGGTGTTGTTCAGACGCCTGGTCCTTCTTGTTTATGTCTTTAACATAATACTTCCTGATTTGGATTTTTTTTTTCTCTAAAAGTCCTGGAAATTAAATATTATATCACTGCTTTTATTGAAAAATCTAAAAGATACCCAACCCACATAACCTGACGAGGGTAAGGGTGCACAAATTATTTCACCATATTGTTGATGATGTTTGGATGAAATTGTGTGTCCATGGCACCATTTTTTGAAAACATGTTAACTGGATCTCTTGTAATCTAAAGCTATTGATTGATAGTCCTCTCTTCCCTTTCCTCACTGCATATTTTAGTGGTTTGGTTGACCTGGTCAGCGACCTGAGGGTGTCACCTGAATACAGGCTGTACAGGTGTGATCAGCACATCTCTGTCACTGACCCTGTGTGCTGGAGAAATTGCTCTTTGCTAATAATTAACCTCTGTAACAAGCCATACAGGTGAGATCAGCCAGGTAATGAAGACTTTAAATATTGTTTGTGTGTGTGTGTGTACCTCCACACGTGTCCCCTAATGATCTCCTTGCCCCTGGCCATTGCTGTGTTTTCCCTTTGAGGAACTGTCCTGGCCTGTGTTTTAGTGCACCTAATAGCTGTGCACAGGGGGACTTTGTCATTTCCTACAAGAGCACTTTGCATGTCCTTTGATGGTGGGTGAAGATTAGGACTCGCCCTCGCTGCTTTGAAATACCACTCTCCTTTGAACCTCTCACCTAGCTTGGGTTTGGCTGGATAATGTCGTCCCACATGCTTGATCAGTGCAGACTGTCTTGTAAAGATTTGTGAGGTAATGTGTTGGACTTGGTATATCATGATAGGTATCATTCTTTTAAATTACAATGTGAAAATAGATTAAAATGCATCAGTCGAATCAAAGTGCTTTGATTCAACTCCACAATATTGCCTCACTATAATCTTGATACCTTAGCAGTGGTAATGCACCTGCTTTAGGGGGAAGATCTTAGTCATTTTAGAATATACTCCTCTCATATTCCTTTTATCCCTGTGGATGTATCACTCTATGTGGAGACATTTCTCTTGGGCTTTAGCCCAAAATTGCCTTTGACCCTGGCTCTGTGGCAGCCCTCAGCCATTCATAATGGAACCCTAAAGTTTCTTATGAATGACATTCTTCTGGACTTTTCTCCACCTTCCACTGCCCTGTAGAGAATAATGCCCGAACATCCTTGATCTTTTCACACGGGACGACAGACGGAGGATTTTCTCGCAGTAAGAATCATTTAAGTGATCCCTTCGCCAACGGTAGGGGTTGAAGATTGGATTGAGGATTGGAGGTTTGGGGGGTGGAGGGGTGTCACAGTCAGATAATGACATTCCTGAGACCCAGAGATGGACTCTAGAGCCCCCCTTTTAAGCCGCTCAGGTTGAACTGGAAAGGTCTATGTATAGACTGGGCAGTTTGGTTAAACCTAGATAGCTTTGCTTGAGACTTTTCGAGAGGTACGGCACTGATATTATTGAGGCCCCAATGGTTCCCAAAACTCACATAAGTACTTCTTCTAACAGCATTTTAGTCAGGAAGCTGTATTTAGGTTAAAACATGCTCTAACATTTAATTAAAGGATGTCAAAATTAAATCACTGAAAGTTTTAGTGTTGCAGTTTCATGTGGAAGGTTTCAACAGAAGTAAATTATAAAGCACATCTAATACTTTAAATGTGTTATTCTGCACAGTTAACAAATAGTTTTCTGTTAGAGACTGAATATCAGCTCTTTACGACTGCTTCATGTCAGATTGCCAAACTGCCGCTGATGTTTCACCTGAGCAGAAGCTGAGCAAAGTCCTGTCTAGGTGTGCGAATGCAATGAAATATTGATGGATCAGGATTGCATCGGTTGCTCAGAGAAGCTGGTGATAATTTCAGCAACGGCAAAACTGTATGTGAAACAATGTCAGACATTTTCAGAACAGATTTGTTGTTCTCCGTGCAGCAGTTCCATGTTCTCTCACCCTACCCTTTGTTTGATTTTATGACCACAACAAGATAAATCTTATGTAACTGAGAATTATTAGGGGAAAAGGTGAAATGGCCCTACTTCAAAATTACAATGAGCTGCTGACAAAATGAACAAAAGTTCAATGTCTCAGCTTCCTCGTGCAGACTTAACAGCGGTGATGATAACACAGGATTAAGAGAATAACAGTTCAAACATCTCGTGGTCGTGCGGCGTGATACGACAGAGTTAAACCGATAATCACTGCTGATGCTCGACGGCTGGTTGTTGGACCAGATTCAGCTGAGGTGATACCACGCTGAAAGTGACTGTCATCATTCACTTACAACTGGCTGCTGTTTATGCAAGAACACAAACACACTGCTGGCTGACAGAGTGGTTTGAGCTGCTCTGAGAGCCACACTGACTTAATACAGTAGTAGAACAGTGACTTTTATTAACAGCATATTATGTCACAGTCCTCAGCCTCAACTTCTTATTTTAGTTTGATACGGGTTAAAAGGTGAAACCAGAACACAGCATTAAATCCAAGAACACATACTTTTTCATTTTCAAACCACACAGAGAGGCTGGCGTTGTCAGATAATTGGACAGAGACGCCGTGAGACCTGTGGATAATATGGGGTCATACCATAGCTTTAAGCTGTCATGAATTCTCTCAAACCTTGATTTTGCCCGTTTCGTACGAAACTACTGTTTTCCCAACATTCTTGCATTTCAAGAGAGCGATTTACTGCTCTGCCTCACCTCTCCAAACCCACCTCATTAGTTTGCTATGCCTCTTTCTTTCTACTACACCTCATCTTCATCTTCTCGCATATGTGCATATCACTGGAGTTATTTATGCTCTGTTTTGTTTTCAACACCCCATCTTGTAAAAGCAAAGCTGCCAGGCATAAAGCAGTCAAAACTCCTCTTCCCTCCAACCCGTCCCACCGTGGCTTGAGAATTTATGGCCAAGTCATCGCCCCTGAGACAGAAGCTGAGAGCAGTCTCTGCCTGGGCCCTCACTGAAACTCAGCACCCTCTCGCTTGACGCACCACCTCATTTTGTCACCTTTTGGACATGTTCAACACCGCGGGGTGATGCCACTGACAGCGCCGTTTGACACCCATTCCTCAACACCTGCCCAGTCACCTGGAGCTACGGCTATGGGCTTTTCATCTCTCCATCTTCCCAGTAACCCCCCTACCCCAGCCTGCGCTTCAAAATTTGTTACCCAAATCAAAGGTGGCGCGCATTGTTAAGGTTTGAACATTATACCAGTGTCATGTAAGCTCCTTAAACAGAACAGCTGCAGGTAATTCACATAGAGAGAGAGAATCCAGGCTCTTTGTCACCAGTGTCTGACGGTTCTTGCTGAAGCCAGGAGTGGGTGTAAAGTCCTCTTTGCCATTAACACTTCAGCCCTGTGGCCTGTGTGCTTGGCAGCTGCCTGCTCTGTAAATGAAACCAGAAGATGCTCGCGGTTTGGACAGCAGTGTGGTGGGACCATATGCTAGTTGGGCTACTAAAAGTGCAGTAGCTCTGACAAGTATTGTGTCGTGAGCCAAAAGAGCTTTGTCATACGCCTACGCAAATATCACCAAAATAGAAGCTTTATGTTACAAAAGAAGACCAGGAGCTATGAGGTCAGCTGCATGTAGCTGAATTTGTAATGAGATAAACCTCTAAATTTCAGTTGCTGGTGCCAAAAGCGATCTGGGATAATTTAACAAAGAATAAAACCCTGCGGCACCTAAACATATTGTCTCCTGACAAATCCGTAGTGGAGGGGGTGAATTGTGGTACAATTGAAAAGCAAAATGATATGCTTAACTGTGTTTAAAAAAAAAAAAAAAGAAAAAAAAAAAAAAGAAATGGATTGATTTAATTACAGCTGATGCCCCATGGCAGACTGCAAAATTTGTAATAATTTTAAAATTGTGCACAACTTTATCAGTGCATGTCATATAATATTTAAAAAAAAAATTCAATTCACGGCATGTTTGGGGGCCGGCGGCCTGAATGTAGGACAGTGACAGACAATAGCAAACAAAACTAAATGACGCTGATCTTATAAGTCATGATTGTTGTACTTCCTAAGGCACTTCCAAAATTATATGGTTGTATTTCAAGAAAGAAATTGATTGGTTTTTTTTTGGGTTTTTTTTGTTTTTGTTTTTTTGCTTTTTTTGAGGCTTTGTTGAGTTTTCATGAGCAACATCACTGCTGTCATTGTGCCTGAGCGATAGCCACAATTTATATAATAATGAATGATCCTCCTGACTTGCACTGTTTGTGTAGAAATGCCTCGCAAGTCCTCACAATACTATGGACAATTCCTACCCACATGGCAACCACTCGCTGATGTATTTTTAAAATTAAATTCAAAAAACAAGTCTACACATTTAATAATTTAATGGTTCCCAAACTACAAATTCACCCTCTTTGCATCACAACATGCTCCAATATGATAAATTGACATGAATGTGGAGAGGAAAAGAACGGCGAGCCTTTTCCGTTACACTAGTATTTGAGGTTAAGATTCTTTGGACTGGGCCGGAGAACATTTTTCCACGCAGTCAACTGAAAGTGCACATTCTGCCCTCTCAGAAATGATCATTTGACCAAAAAGACTCTCTCTCTTTATGCGGCTATAGGGTCTGATGCTGAAACTGTGGATTTGTACTCACCACCAGATGGGATAGCCTCCAAGCACCCGTGAGCTGGACAACCACACACACATCAAATATCCAATCAGATACAAATCCATGAGGTAAGCCTTGTAGTGTGTGTGTGAGAGGGTAAATGGATCAATACATAGAACTTCCAGTAGGCAATGAAGAAGAGTTTCCAGGAAGAGAAGCTTTAGGGCAGCTTGATTGTTGAATGAGGGGAAAATTAAAATGATATTGAAAAAAAAAAATCTTCCTCCTGTTTTCCCCCCTTCTTTGAGTCGGGCCAGGAAAGTGTGTCTGTCTCCTAGTAGTTAAGAGAATAAGTGTCTCTTACACACATGCACACACGCTCCTACCCGTCCTCTCCTTCCCTCCCTCTCTCTGAGGTTCTTCCCTAAGGTAGATATCTTTTTCTCTCTCTCTCTACTTTTTTCTCCCTCAGGATGCCTCATCCACAGGCCCAATATTAAAGGGGGGGTGGTGGAGGGGGGAGGCGGGGGGAATGAGGTTTTGGAGATGTCAGCTGGCAAGCCAATCACAGAAGATGGCCTTAGGTTACGAAAAAAAAATTATTATTCGTTCCCATCTGTCAATCACACGCCACCCCCTGGTAATGTGGAAAAGAAAGGAAAGAGTGAAAAGAGGGAGGGAGGGAAATGGGAGAGGGAGGTATAGGGAGGGACACATGAAAAAGGTAGAGCAGACTTGTTACTCAACTTGTTTCATACATGATTACTGAAAACAAAAACAAAAAAAAACAAAACAATAATTCACCAAAGTGGCTCAGAGGAAGGTGAAGGGGATGTAGGTCGCCTTCTCCTCAGGAGACTCCGCGATGCCGGCTTCACACACGCTGACGTACATGTTGACATATTGATTTTTAGGGGTTGTGCCCTGACTAATTGATCCGGATATACGTGCATACAGTGCACACGTACACATGCACCCAACACACACACACACACACACACACACACACACACACACACACACACACACACACACACACACACACACACACACACACACACACATACACACAATCTCGCTGTGTCCCACTCACTGGGACATATACAGTGAATTTTCTAAATTGTTGTCCGCCCACCCCAACAGGGGAGCACATAAAAGGGGACACAATAAAGCCATAAACTGCGGTGGTGGCTGGGCCAGGCATGCAGGGGTTATATGCTTCAGCGGCCCAAAGGCAACACATTTTACATCAATACTATTGTCATTCTGATGGGCTGTGGGGCGAGCAGCCGTGGGACAAGTGGGGGAGGAGGAGGGAGGAGGAGAGAGAGAGATAGAGAGTGAAGGAGGAGGGTGGGACACTTGTGATGGACTTAGCCTGAAGTAACCATGCATTTGATTCACATACAAGGAAACTGATCGGGACGAATACAAACAAGATACCCGGCAGAGATCAAACGAAGCAGGTTGTAGTGATAACAATCTAGTTAGGAGGTTTTTGTCTCAGAGGATTATCAGTCGGCCGTCATGGAAAGACTGACCACCAAAGACGTGACCGCTGTGAAAACCAGTAATGAAGGGGTTCATCAGTACAGATTTCATACTGGACTTCACAGAACATAACTTTTTTTTTTTTTTTTTTAGAAAAGTGAGGCTCTGAAGTGTTTTTAACTTTGGGGTTTTTTAAAAAATCTACCGACAGAGTTTTCTGCTAGATTTAAGCTCCATGCCCCTTAGAGACCAGTGGTGCCATGTTATTAAGCAAGTCTGTGTGAAGATTGTTGTTTCTTTGTAGTTAAAATTTAGTGTATGAGTCACAATCTTCAAAATTAAGTTCAAATAAGAACAAATTCTTTGACATTTTTCCTACTAGATTCAAAGGCCCTTTTTGCACATATACAGTGAGTGGTTTTAAAAATGTGAAGATTTAACATTTTATGGCATCTTCAGACCAGATGGATTACCTGGTAGATTTCACAACAGACTGAGCGTGTGGAGCCATATGGAGACCAGCCTTTGGGAGGTCTGGTTCCAAGTAAGAAGGGTCATAATGCGTTCACTGACGAATGTTTTATTGATTTCATCCTAATTTAAAAATGCAGCAAAGAAAAGTGGATTTTAAAAATGAAAATATGGCCCATAAATAATTACAGAAATATAAATCTGATGCCTGCTGCTAAAATGACAGGTGGCTCAAATATCAATATCACACTTTGACTGTTGTTAAACATAAAGTTAGTGATAGACATGTCACTCTAACACAAATGCTGTTACTCTTAAGTGATTTTAAATGCACCAGCAGTGTTTATACCCGAGCAGCGTATCACACTTGTCTTCCCCTCTGATGTCTGCTGCCTGGGGGCCGTGGTCTTTCTGCTGAAGACCTCCGGGGCATGATTGAGCTCAGCGGACCGAAGGGGGCTGGAGGTCGCTCAGCAGGGGCTGGGAGCGCGCACTCTGCAGAGAGGAGGCTGAGTGCCCACCGCAGGGAGAGGGCCCGGTGACCACAGTCTGGAGGTCAGTAGTGGAGTGGCCCCCTTCACCCACCCCTTCTGTGTTTTATTCCTCCATAACAAAGAAGATAGGGAAACAGGCAGTGACTGAGCAGCACTCGACCTACCGCCCTGTTTGAAAGGGGGGGGGGGGGGGGTTTCCTCCAAGTCTCTAAATGTGACAATAATTGATAGATATCTTTGTGAGAGTTGTATGAAGCCAGTCTCCAGCCAGTCTTAGTGGGGAGTCTTCTACATTATACCAATAAAGATATCTTTTCAATGCCTCAAGTCAAGATGCGATATGTCATGGCCGTGCTGACAATGAGGCAGGTCTGTTTTCGATCACGAACATTGTCGTGCGTTACGGCATCGTCAAAAATGTGCCTAGCTCAGCTCGAGGATTTGGATGACAGTTGCTCTGCAGGAGCGATAGACGGTGTGCAGGGCCAGGGATGGATGGGGGGGGGGTGTGACAGTGGTCTGATTTATGAGTGCAGGCAAAGGAATCAGTCTGCGGTCTGCATCTGAACAACATTGAAACCACGTTTCCCAGGTTGAGGCCACAAGTGCAAAGCGAACTGTCTGGAAAGGCAACAGCGATTAAGGTCAAGAACATCAGAGCCTGATCCTGAAATGAGCTGTGACTCGACAACACTTGTGTTGGTTGTTTTGAGTGGTGGTGTTTTGTACAACTCTCTGAAGGGAAGGAAGGCCTCAGTCTGCGTGTCTGCATCAGTAGGTGCACAGGAGGGGGAGGCACACACAGAGGTCCCCTACCGGGCCGGTTTCTACGGTGACCTGAGAAAGGCCGTAACCAGGTCCGGCTCTTTCTCAGGCCTAATCAGCGTATTACCACAAAGAAGGACATGTGTTCGGCCCCCCCACCTCTCTACCCTCCCTACTCAATCCGACCAGCATGGCTGGACACAGGCAGCCAATAAAACCAGGATTAGGAGGGTATCTACACACACTGGGCTGAAGCGAAAAAGTTTCTGAACACGCCCAATCCCACCCTGCTCCGTTCACAAACTTCTTTTCATCGTTCTCCTCTGTCTCTCATTCCTGACATCTTTCACTTTATTTCACTTGCTCCCATGTTTATATCCTTCCTTTGCCTCTTCCTTTCAGGGCCCTCACCCTGTAAGCTCTTCACACAATAGGGCATCCAGAAATTACTCATTTTGCTGGAGCAGTTCAGCAAATTCCCAATGCTTCTTGCCCAGCTCCCCCTTTATGCTCTCGATCCTGTGCTTTTTGCTGTTATGATAATGAAATGTGCTCCATCACAATGACAAAGCTGTGCATGTGTTTGGCTGTGTATGTGGAAAGGAGAATTTATGTGAATTCACGCTCCTTTACATATTTTTGCATGAATTCATGCTCCTCTACATAATGTGCAAGATGGAAACCTTCCACTTGGATTTCATGACCGTGAAACAGATTTTCTTTTGCCTCCATCTGTGCAGTAATTGTCTGATTAATTAATGCCCGATAATAATTCTAATGAAGTCCCGGTTCTGTCTGTATAGGAAGTACATCATGTTTATTGTCATGATTTGAGACTTTCTGTGAGTCATGTGCCTCTTGGTGTCTGAAGGACTGTAGCTTTACCTCAGAGTATCTGCTGATGTGTCCTGGAAATGGGAGCGTGTTAAAGATGATATCAATGCCTTTGTCAGGACTTTTTAAGACGGGGGACAAAGACGACAAGAACTCTTCCCCCAAATAAACCTTTTTCATTAGAGCAGCAAACACTTCATCCCTCTGCTGTGTGAGCGAAGCCCTATTGGTGTGTGTGAGTCACTCAGCAAGGTCCCACATGGAAGAGCCTAAACCCTCAGCGGTCTTTAGCCGGACACTGAGGCGGCCTAATTAAAGGGCACTTAAGCCCCACAATGTGCGGCGGTGCAGGTTGGAGTTGGTGGGGGTCCCCGCCGAGAGGGACAGAATTCATGGCACTCGTAAACAAGGGAGTCCAGGACAGAGGGACAGAAGAGGGCTATGTGCCAGAGACTTTGTTCACACAAGATGAAGAGTCAACAGCCTCCCTATCCCTCACCCCTCCTTAGCCATCCCCCCTAATAACCACCTTCTTCAGAGGAGCTGCAAACACAATGCCGTCCCACTCCCCTCCTCTTGCTCTCAATCACTGTTGGGACAATGAGGAGGAACCCCCCCCGACCCCACCACCTCCACCATCCTTCTGCCCCTCCCCGACCCCCAAACAGACACTTCTTTTATTGAAATTCTTTGGTGTTCTAATCCTCAGCTTCCTCCAGGGGCAATAATGGACTCCCTGCGTCAGCCTTTTCCAGCGAGGCTATCATCCAAGGCTGCCTGGGTCACAAGTCCACCTCTCCTATTGGAGAAAACTGCCCCAGCACTGTCATTCCTGTCACATCCAGCTCATCCACAGGCCATACAAGCCCCACTGCCATTGACCTTAAGAACACATTTGAATTGCCAGCCATGCATATCTCTATATTTTCAAGTAACATTTTCCACAACTTACAACTGGTAATTGTAACCATGTAAACTAAGCAGATGTCTTACCCTTCACATTTACAGAACAAGTTGGAAATATTTTTAATTTTTTCTTTTCTTTTTTTTTCAAAATGATATTTCTCAGC